CAGGATTCTTGCTCAGAAAAAGGATCAACATGCTCTGAAGTCAGAGCACAAAAACCTTTTTGTAACAAAATATCGATTTCTGCTGTCCCTGTATCCATACATTATTAGCAAACAAAATATCACCATGCTACACAGTATCCATTTTCCCCCCACCCCTAGTAGACACAGGCTAGGAGAAACAGGTGTAATATTTAAACTGTAGGGTTTTTGTTGTTGTTTTTTGTGAGTACACAACCGGGGAGGAACCAGGAAGTTGATTAAAGTGGAAGAGATACTTCATCATTCATCCAAGTGACTCCTTCAGTCTCAGCTGACTGTATGTTTTCCAAACCTGATAAACTCTATATTTGCATAATGACTGAAAATAGCACTATTGCCCAACAATGGGGTGTGAATTTAGTTTCATGATCGTTACTATGCAAATTGTTATGATCATCGATCAGTGGCCATGACTGCCTGTTCCATTCCACAAAAACCTTTTTTGTAACAAAATATCGATTTCTGCTGTCCCTGTATCGATACATTATTAGCAAACAAAATATCACGATGCTACACAGTATCGATTTTTTCCCCACCCCTAATTAGTTCATTGTGTTTTCTGTGTTTTCACTGGATTTGTTGATATAAAAGATTATGGAACCAATATTACCTTTTAACTGAACCAAAACGACCTGAGATTTATAGAAAATGTAAATGTTTTATATTCAGATGTTAAGCTTTTGTGAGGCCGGTCTCCACCTACGTATTCCTTAGGCCAGTGTGAGAAGTACCAAACTTTGAAATTCACTTCGCACTCATCTGTGGGGTCAAAGCTCTGTCACACTTGTGATTTTCTCCATTGAAATGCATTTTTGGCCTTATGTACTGCAGGATTGAAATCTTACAAAAAGCTTTCAGCCCATCTCTTTGAAGTGAGGAGCTGAATTACTCTGGCTTCATTGCATAGGTTGTGTGTACTATTGTGGATAATGTCTCTGAGTGTGTATGTGTGCGTGGTACGGTGCCTGCCTTTCCTTTTTTCTCATACAATGGTCTTTATTGCCAGGGCCAGAGAAATACGACCGGCGCTCCTGGTTTTCATCAGGCGAGTGCTCAGTGTTTTCTTGCCTGGGTGCTCATCCCTGTCACTCAGTTCACCTCTCAATTACTATGTTTGTGCTCACAGCGGCGTGACATTAAACCCAGGCTTCAATTTGCTCAGTGACAGATGACACAGAAGGCATGTTTGTTGGTCTGACATTTGACAGGCCTTGACACTTTGGGTTGGGAAGTATAATTACAGTAATGAAATTAAAATAAAAAAAAGGGTTATTTACTTATGTACTTTTTAAGCTAGCGCTATTTACACTCATAGACAGTAAACTTTTCTGGTCAAACCTGGTAAACACAGAAGTAACTGTGGTGTGTAGTTTCTTTTGATGATAGTAGCTTCTCCTCAACATCTATCTGTTCAACACACATTCCGGTTGCTCTCTGTCTTCTTTGTCTCTGCACCCATTCTGTAATTGATTGTTATTACACTCCTACATGTTGCAGTCTTGATGTCTAGCTGGCTTCAAATAAAGGGCTGACCCATGGCATATTAGTGAGACCCCCTACTGTGCGTTAATGACTAGCAGGAAAGTGAAAATACTTTTTTCCGCTGCAAAGTGGTTACACATTGCGCTGTGTATCTCAAAGCCTAAATAGCACGTAGCCTATTACTGAAAGGTCATCAAAAGGGTTTGTCAAAATATAGGAAGAAACACTCAGTCAGTGGCCAGGAAACCCAAATGAACTCTTTCTAGAATTTTTGAAGCCAACCATTAAGAGCAGGAGTATATTTGTAAAAGGGGGGAAAGTTAAAATGCATGGGAAAACATTTACTTTCAGCGCTGCCTTAGGGGGGCATTGTGTTTGTATGTCTCCATGTGTTTTGTCACAGAATTTCCTAAGATGTGCACAGCTTGAATTCACAGGATCTCATCAAAATGCGTAGACATAAATCAGTCGATGGAATTTCATGTATTTGCGTCTCACTAGGAACGCAGCTATAATGCTGTCGTCGACTTCACTAATAGCACAAAAACAACATATAAAAAGAATTCACTGTTCTGGTGAAGATTTCTACTAAACCTCGAGGTATCACCATAACCAGTCATGACTTTACACTAGCATAGGTGTGGTGTTCTTTGAGGTCAAACGCATGAACTCATCTCCTCAATTTAGTCTGCCTGATGGTGTGAATATGTGTCAGTAGCTGCTGCATATTGGCACTCTCCTCCCAAGTTGCCATTAGCAGTCGTGGCATTATTGCCCAGATGATGGTTTTACTTGGCTGCCAGCATGAAAACCTGCAAGAGCATGACATCCGTACTTGATTGATTCGACTGATTTGATTTCTGTGCCAATTTGTCTCCGTTTCCGCTCTTTAGAGGATATCTTTTTCGAGCAGGGGAACGGTATTGAGGTGCGCGCAAAGACAGAGGAGCAGTGAAAGAAGAATGTGACATTGCAGTGCTGCTGTGGCTAGTTTGGGGGTTTATGTGCCTCTCTGTGAGCCTTGTCAGGATGAACACTCCTCGTAATAAGCTCCTATGTGATCCCTCAGCAGTTCCACTCTGCACCAGGACATTAAAACCAGCCCACAGGAGAATTACTGCGTGTGCCCTTACACACTCATGGATCAGACTTGAGGCTAGTGGACAAAATAATTGATTTGTCACAGTTGAAGCAAAACATTTTATACTTCTACTTTTCTTAGATCCAGTTTTCCCCATAGGGTGAGCACTCCATACTGTTTTCTGCCTGAGATGCATTTGATGGCTCCCATTAATTTTCCCTTTCATTGATACAAAGCCTGTAGTGCCCTGCTTTTGCTCTGTTTTAGGCGTACCACACCACAGGATTGTGGAATTTTAGGGCCATCTTGTATTATTTTATATATATTTTATAAACTAAACACAGCAGTGAGTGTCTAACGGTTTGCATTGTGCTCAAGATTTTAATATTAGGGCGCTATTATATGATCCATGCAGTAATTTCTTTTACGCCTTTTTAATACAAGGGCAAACTCATTTTATAGGTCAAATTATAACCTTAAACTATGCAATCATTTGATGGAAATCTGTTGCAGTTAATGAATACCTGAAATTTACCATCCACAGACTTTAGCAGATGCTTGGTATCTTCCCTGGTGAGGTGCTGCCAGGCCTGTGGTGCAGCCATCTTCGGTTATTGCTTGTTTGGGGACTGGTCTTTAGTGAGTCAAACACCTGCTCAGTTGGATTTAGGTTACTGGCTAGTCAAGAGCGTTGCACAATACATACGAAAAATCCTTGATTGCTTCGACTATATTTAGGACGAAGCAATCAGCAGAGATTCTGCTGTTTTTATTGCCCGGCTTCTGTAAAAATACATCTTAGTCGATTTTGCCAGACCAGCGTGAGACAAACAAGGAGTCTTTGTCCTCGTAACTTCGGCGTCGCTCAGATCTCCTCATTTCAGTCACATCAGCAGCAAAGGCATGATATCTTGAGACTCCTTTTTATGTAGCCTGTGAGGGTATAATTAATAATAGAGCATTAATCATTTTGGAGGCGAAACATGAGGGCTCATTCCTCGAGTTTGCCCCCTGACAAGCGTCCCGCAGGCCCACTGCTCCTACCCCTCCCATAATGTACTCACCCCATCACATTTTGCCTCCTTTATTGAATGCCAATTAAGCAGATAAATTAGCAGGGTTCAGAGATTAATTGAAAAACCTGCTGGTTTCCTTGGGTGAAAAAACCTGCCAATTGTAAAAGTTTCAGCTGCACTTTCTCCCCTCCTCTATCTCCCAGAGATATTAATGATTTTTGTAGCTCAAAGGATATTTACTAGAGGAAATATGCTTGAAGGAATTCAGGTCACCGTGCCCCTGGATGGAATTCCTGCCCATGCTTCGCTAACAAATGAAGAAAAACCTTTTGAATCAGGTTATTTGTGGTAAGACATTCAAACCTCTGCGCAAAACAGCGTTCTTACTTTCAACTCGCACGCTCCGTTTTTATTCTCTAGCTGAATTTTACACTTAACTGCATGAAAGGAAATCACTGTCAGAACAGATCAGCGTGTACTAAAAGACAAATGATTTCCTCTGCTTGCCAGCAGAGGGCAGCATGCCTCCACACCTTTAGGTGCACCATTGTAAAACCCCGAGGAGGATGTTTTTTCACTCTGTTCATTCTACCCATCTCTTTGTGAGAGAGTGCTTCTGATAAACATCCCCCTCCATTCTAATCATCATGTCATTCCCTAGCTTTTAGTGCTCTGTCCAGCCTTCGCTCTATCCCCTGATGTCTCTCACATGAAAGACCTCTTTTGTGATGCAGAATTAAAGTAGCATGAAGATAATACTCCCAATAACACACAGATACTGCCTCTCCAGCCTATCTGATGTGATTGCATGGCCTCAATAGAAGCAGTGTGTTTGATTTTGTTCTCCTGTTCTGAGTTGGGGTGTACAGTTTTTATTGCTGCAGCCTTGCTACTTTCGTTTCAAGGACTAATTATTATTGCCATTATTTTCTGCTGCTGAGCCACGTGACTTTAATAAAGACACAGACAGCAAACTTGTTTTCAGCCATGGAAACGCAGGATTTTCTATTAAAGGATTTTAGTGGAAATGGAACAATAATTGTGTGTTTGTTGTTAGTGAAACCATTGTGCTGTCAATAACACTGGAACAAGTTTGAGGTTGTGAAATGCAGTTGATTTGATTGATTTTGAAGTTCAAATGTCAAGTATTTTTGTAAAATCTGTTTTTACTTAAAACTGAGCTTCATTATTAACCTTTCTTGTTGTGTAGGAGGACATGAACCTGAATGAGGATCGCAAAGCGCCTCTGCGAGAAAAGGACTTGAGCACCAAACGCGAGATGGTGGTCCAGTACATCTCAGCCACGGCCAAATCTGTAAGTGAGAGAACGCATTTCAGAGTTATGTCTTTATAAGCTAAGATATATCGTACAGTTGTAACTGGTGGGCTGCAATATCACAACACTTAACGCGCCTCTCTAGAATGACAACACGATGCTTTTTGCTTGCTTTGTCATCTGCTCTTGCACACGCTCGCTTTTGCTGCCTTTCTTCACACCTCATGCTTGAAATCCACACCTTTGATTGTAGTTTTGATTTATATCCCTTACTTCTCCCCCTGTTGTGCCAAAATCTTCCAGATTTAAGGCAATCCCTCACTTACTCAATCATAGGTGGACGGTCCAGTCACATGCCTGCATGAAAACGGTCGGTTGTCCAGGTGTATAATTGCATGTGAATTTTTGGTGGTTTCTTCTTGCTGCATTATTTGTTTCTAAAGAAGATGTTTAATATTGCTCTTAGTTCAGCTGCAGTATATCAAATACAGGAGTGAAATAGGACAAATGTCTGACCAGTAAACCTGTGATGTTTCTTTACACTGCACCATAGCATGCTTTACCCTTTAGTTCTGCATGCTATGGATGCTTAGCAGAATTATTTTGTTGGTCTGTTGACTCTCAGTTGTTTTAAAATGAGATTAGATATAAAATTAATTAAAATGATTTTGCCTGTTTTGTGTTGGAGTAATTTGGTGGAGAGGCGATGCTTAATCATTTTAAGCAATAACCGTTTTGGCAGCAATCCATGAATGTATGATAAATTCTCGTATTGTCTGTTGAAGTTATGGCCTCGTGCTGTAAAATTCAGATCACTTCTGAAGAAGAAGAAGAAAAAAAAAGTGATTTCTGTCCTCTTTGTTTCCTGAACCTGGTAGCTCCTTCTTGACATCATCATTTATTACCTGCCTCATTGTTATGGTAATTAACTGGCATTATTGATAATGATGATTATCCGAGATGATTGAATTCCACACAGGGCCCATTATGCTTTGTGAGCACTGATATTTTATTCAAATGAATAACGTAATCCATGTAGTCAAAGGACAGAGGACAAAATGGGATGTCTGTCAGCACCCTGCTATCACATTTAATAGGTCTGAAGAAAGGAGGTGGTTGAATGTCAGTGATGATTGTGTGCTTGCTGATTCATGCAAGTGCACATGCACTCGCACTATATTACAGGACAGCTATATATCCAAACGCCATTACATACCAATAATACATAAAGATAATGTGCTTCAACTTAATAGTTTGCAATTTCTTTACATATGATTGCAATAGTAATGTGACACGGCTGCCAATTCGCTGCAGTTAGCAACGTGATACACAACAATTATTCCTGTAACTACAGTATGAGAGAGACAGGAGCAGGACTTTTATTTCACTGAGTATATCAGAGATTATTCCAGGAAGAAATTCTGTTATTTTAAGAGTATAAAAAAATATAAGACACAAACAAAACAAGAACAAAAAAATGGCCAAGTTGGAAAATTTAGTCATCAGTAGATTTGTTCTCCTGTTTTCAATAAAGTGTATTTATACAATTAATTGCCTCGCTTTCTTTTACGTCCTGATAGATGAAAAAAGATATTTCTTAATGTTACTTTATTTAAATATTTACAAATGTATGTAACAGTAAAGCTTCTTCAAACTGCCGTGTAGTGTTCCTTTGCTGCTGGACTGTGTGATGTGGGTTGTAGTAACCCAGTCACTCATTGCTGTCTGTTTTGCCTGGTGTTACGGCCAGTGTTGGTCAAGTTACTTGAAAAAA